GAGCCAGTGAACCTTCCGGTCAGTACATTCGCGCTCTAACCACCGAACCATCTCGCCCCCGTTCCACATGTATTTTGCTTGAAAAGCCCGGCCATCCACTAGCATTTTCTCACAGACTGCTTCATTGAACTAGCCCAGAGACCTTGAGTTGTCATGTTCTTATGTGGAAGTTTGGAGAATATTCACGTCTTAAAGGACCAAAGAGCAAACGTTGGATAAATCGCTGATTTCGAAGGTCCACTGGTCTGGGGGTAATCTTTTCAACGAGGAATTTGGCGCACAGATTTTGTATTAGTTATTTTGTAATGGAGCTAATCGCCGGACTTCAGAACTGCTCAGCTGCAATAATGTTCGGAAAACATTAGAACCACCAAGTTTATCCAAGCACACTGGCACCTAAGAACATCGTATGAATTGTTGAAATACGTCAGCCACATGTGTCTGAACACCATATCCTGATGGACGTTTCAGTGTCTTTTTAGACCCATTGATGTTGTGGATGTCTGCAGCTTGATGATGCGGAAATCATGATGCGACTGCAGGGATCCATACATCCCATGAAGACATCGATCATGTGCATGCAACGCTCACCCAGTTCCCTTGCTGACGATCGATAAATGCCTCGCAGTCTGAGTCTATCTTAGCATCTTTGGTCTGAGTGAGGTTTTTCTAACCTCGATAGGGCTCGAGGGAGCTTATTGATATTTCTTGATACTCAACGATCGAGCTTACCAAGATCAGCATACAAATCGTAGCGCCCAAATTATTACAATTGTTTTATTCGTGATTAATGCAGTGGGTGACTCTTGGGAATACTGTAATCACTGACAAGTGAAAAAATCGATCGATAATTACAGCTGACGCCCACCCAAAACAAGTCAAACACCCTCATTCTGAGCAGAGCTACAAGGCATCTATCCAACCCTATAGTATAAATCATAATTTAAAAATTTTTGAGAATGATATTCTCACATTTATGCTAGTATGTTGTCTCTTTGTGCTTCTATACACTAGAAACCAGAGGAGCAAACAGAATTGTCACCTCCACTACCCCGTGGTGAATACAAACTCGATTTTGACAATCTTGATGAATACTCCGATCCGTTTGGGGGAAAGGTGACCAACGCGATGACGGGGCGGAAACCCAAAGACGTTGGTGAGGAGACGAAACCGCCAGAAGATGACAAGTCATCGAAATCGGCCAAAGTTGAAAGTGCTCCGAAAGGGAAAGCAAAGCAACCCGATACAAGTGAGTTATGTCCGTGAAGAATCTTAGACTATCTACTGTCTAAAGTCAACCCAGACGTCCCTAATTATTGTGGCGCTCAGTATTCTCAGTATTTGCACAATGGAACTGAACTCTCGAAAGCTACGACATGTCCCTGATGAACTAAAGCAGACAGAAAATTGAGTTCAGGGTACCGGTCCAAACTTTTGAGCCTCATCTAGGTATCTCTGGTCTCAGCAATGCTGAGAAAGTATTCTACCGGACGTTTTTGCCAGGAGTATGATTGATTCAGTGGACAATGAAATCTGGTGACCTGCGAAAATATGAGCGTAAATTACGATGGTTTTTGGTTTGAGCACATACGCAGCAAAATGCAACATTTTGGCACAAAAGTTTATTTCACTCGCAAAGGTTTTGCAGCTAAGAGTATTGTGCGGCTAATGGACTCCACTTATTGCTGGGATAGAACATCGTGCTCATGTAGCGAAGAAAAACAGAGGACCACCGGTTTTTGTAGGGCCGGCGTTTGGCGAAGCATGGTAATCCACAAAGCATTCCATAGAGATACCCATCAACTTCAATTCTGTCTATCAGTGGCACGAACAAATTAAGTGCAAATTCGCAAAACCATGGAAAAAAATCGGAAATCAAACGAAAAATATGATGAACAGGTCAATCGGAAGAATGTAGGGAACTGCCAAAAACGAAAGGTTAACCAATCCACAAGCGGGACAGAACAAACGAGACCGCATACCAAGAAAGAAACAGACCAATCACAACGGGGGATAGAACCTACACACTGAATGCGCTCAACGAACCAACCAGACACAATAAACTTGTATCACAACGTAACTGAGGCTTCATGCTGACTAATCACCTTAAATAGGAGCTCTCTTCGCAAGCAACCAATCATTTTAGAGCTGTTCGATACCGTTTGGAATCCATATATTCACGGAAAGCTGGGGAGAACCTAACAGTAAACCCAAAACAAGCTCTTCAAAATATATCCTAAAATAAATATGCTGAAATTGCTGTAGCTCATGTGCGTCAACCGGTAGTTGATCAGATAGCCAATAAATTGCTTACGGAGCTCCTCAGTTAGCATTTAGCAAATTAGGAACTAGCGATATCATTTGCCGTCGGGACCTTACACGAGATCATTTTCTAAGTAGCGTACTTTATCATCCTCTACCCCTGAATCGGAAAGGCAAGCTTGGATATCAGCAGGACAGAACATCATTCGGATTTGTTGAACTGATGATTACAAATGGGCACACTCACGTTAGAAAATACGAGAGAAAAGGTGACGAACCTAAGGTAGCATGCCGGACCTGGACTTTCAAAATAACGTGCACTGCCAAAAGCAACAAAACGTCTTTGAAAAACCACCTGCACCAAGAATAGTAAGATACCCACGACGCTTGGATAGAGGATCTTTCGCGTTGGCAGCGCACGGAAGCAGAAACGCGAATTCAAATTGAAGATTCATTTTTTGATAGGGATGCCCAAGAGCTCCTAAAACAAAAATTTAAAGATCCATTTGTAACCTCAGTATATTACGAAACGCGAGTATCTGGTTAGTCTAGAAGCAATTATAAAATCCATTCAACTTGATAGGGATGCCCAAGAGCTCCTAAAACAAACCGTAGTTCCAGGTATCACACACAACAAAACATTTATCAAGGAATAGGAGACAGTGAACAGGGTGAAGGAAGACGGGATAATTGCCATTCTACCAGATTATAGGGGAATTCCGATGATCATCATAGATGGGTCAGAATACACTAATACCGTTAAAGCTCGACTGAACGACAAGACTACTTACTACTGTAACAAGTAGTACAAAATCAGAAAACTTGCAGCAAGCCCGACAAGAACCTGAAAAAGCTAAAAGATCTAAGCACCACAGGAAAAGGGCACAGGAATAGGAGAGCTCAGAACTCGGTCATACCAGCTTCTAAGGACTACCGGAAAAACATAAAGCGTCAGCACACTCCAGGGGACTCTAACGTACAATCTGTTGAAAGTACTGCGAAGAAGGTTGACAATGGGTCATCACAGTACTTAGCCTTAAAAATATAACAAAACAAAAATATTGGAGATGATTACATAGCGATTTCGTCTATGTAGGCCCACTATTCACATCAGTAGATATGGAACTTCACAAAGATGTTCTCATCAAAAGGTTGCCAACAGCAAAACTGAGAGCAGAAGTTTTCCGAGCCTGCATACTGAGGCGCACTGCAACTGTGCGGTGCCAAACGTCAGAGATATGGAACGCTTTTACAAAGCTTATTTAGAGAATGGATACCCAGGAAAATTGACCTGACGACTCATCAGAAAGCCCAACTGGGTGGACTCCATAGCACAAGAAGGCGAACGGATCACACATTCATATACCAGGAACATTTCTGAAATGACCACAAGATTATAACCAGAGTACGAATGACTCGATCCTCAAGCCTGCGAACACCCTTCGAAGAGCACTATCAAATCCCCAGAAAGGATGGAACATAAGAATGGGGATCAATGTCATAATGCACTACTAACTAGCCCATGAACTACCTGATGAGCGCCAAGAAGTTATCAGCAACCTTTTGAGTAGTATATTACGTCCATACAATATATCGAGAGATCTCGCACATCGCAGCAACTGAAACATGAGGCGGCCTGGCGCAACACAATCAGTTTGGTTGAAGAGACATTATAAACGGGAGATTCAGTTAGGTTCTAGATGGGTCTGCCGTCAAAACGAAACTAGTTTGCAAATGAGTGTAGTTAGCAAAAATACAACCAGTTTTTACTCGACAACGTTCATGCAGGTCAAGATGGACACATGTTCGACTGGACCAGCGTTCACTTATTCTCCAGACAAGAACGAAAATGAAGCGTGAATTCATGGACACGTGTTACTGCACTGAAAAAGTCGTCATCAAATACATTGAATTTGATTACTAGGGGAAAAAGAACTATGGAACGGAACTGCACACAAACCTCTTAAAGTGACTGGTTTAGAACGTAAAATCCAGTGGAGTGATCCACTTTCACAAACTAGCGTTCAACCAAAAAACTGAAGATGGATAATAGAAGACTCAACAAAAGTTATCAAAGTGACCGATCAGAAGGTAGGGAAAATTTCATCAAACGAGAAATTGGGTTAATCAAACTCATGGAGGTGGGACTATGATAGAAACGAAGAATGACCGGTCAGACAAGAAAGAGGCTGAAAAAACGGAAATCACCACAGCGACCATAAAGTTCAAGCAAGAAATCCCACAATGCGAGACGACGGATGAACGGAGTAATCCGGAAACGGTCCTACCCTCACCCCAAAAGAAAAAATCTAGAAGAGCAACTGGATAAGAGATATTCAGGGGAAAAATGCAAGGCTAATCTCGTGGAGGTCAATGAGATTNTTGGCCAATCACACGAGAGAACATTAAGTACTCGTTTTCGAAAAGGTTTGGTGATGACTACCCAATCGGTTTCAAGTATTTTCTACGTGATTGAACATTAAGTACTCTTCAACTTCTGTATAAACTCATACAGGTGAAAGGAAGAAGGCCTTCGCTGCGGATTTATTATTTAGGACCATTGAACAGGGAAGCAAAACTCCCATTTGCATCTTATTTACAAAAACTGGACACCGATCTTCTCCCGAACGCGTCTCCTTGAACTTTCCTGGAGATTCATTGACTCCAATCATTCTTCGCTCAAATCCAAGCAAATGTTGCAAAGTGACTCCACGAATTCCGCAGCAGGTCTCCTCTTTTCAAAGGACGCAAAGCAGAATTTCGCGAACAACACATACTACTCAGGTGCCTCCCATCAGTATTATCATTGTTACACATGTAAGGACCATGACCACGTCTAGTCGACTGGGGACGAAACGCTTGCAGCTAATTGCCAAGCTCGGCAAACGAATGCGCGGCCGTCTGATCAATCACCAGCATCTCAAAATAAATGCAGTTAGAGAGTGACCGAAGTACTAGATGCTGAAGCTTATTCGAAGGGACGTCATTTGTCGGTATTTGATCAGGTGGTTGAACATTTTTCCCTGGAATAAACAGTTCCCAATAAATGCTTGACCAGTGAAGACTCAATGACTCAATGACCAAATGCAAAATCGATCAAATGAATGATTTTTTAGCGCACGGTCACGTGATAATTGTAGCAAATCAAGTGAAGTTAGATGCACGCGGAATCTCAGTGTACTATTCTGCATGGCGAATATATATTACCCATACGTGACGGTACATCAGCTCTGTAAAATCGTGTCAAATTTCAGGTGGATTGCTTACATCCACCCCGTATTTTGTCATTTTTAGAGAATCCCAAAAGCGAAGCTCCGGTGAAGTCACAAAGTAACGCAGCTTCGACAAATGGTGTAGAGGTGAGGCTATTTGAAGTTTTGCACAGATTCAGTTCAAAAACACTATTAATTTATAAAAAGTAAAGTATTGTAAAGCTGATGGTTGTTTAGAATTTTGCGGCTAAATGAGATGCTTGAACGATTAGACTGAACGATTTCGAGCTTGCCTCGTTAAAACCAACGTTGCGCTGTTCATGGTCAAATCGTCATCCAGTTCCCATCCTGTCGGTAAATGAATTCCTCGCAGTTTGAATCCGTCTTGGTATCCTCCCTCTGGGCGAGGTCTGATATCTTGATATTGAAAGAGAAAACTTATACTTGGTTTCTTAATACTCATCAATTGGGCTTGCAAAGCTCAGCACGCATCTCTTAGCATCGAATCCACTCTAAGTATTCGGTTCGTGATAAGTACAACACGAAACTGTCGAGAATACTGTGGGCGTTGACAAAAGAGAGTATCGCTCGATAATTTGAGTCGATGTCCGCCTGAAACAAATCCAACAAAGTACATCTAACGACAGCTAGGAGGCAACATTCCAACCCATGGCTGTAAATTGTACGTTGAAAAACCTTGAGAATGACATTTCCATACATGAGCTACCCTTTTGTGAAATTATACTTTAGAAATCAGAGGAGCAAACACTAGTGTCACCTCCACTACTCCGGGGTGAATACAAACTCGATTTTGACAATCTCGATGAATACTCCGATCCGTTTGGGGGAATGGTGACCAACGCGATGACGGGGCGGAAACCCAAAGACGTTGGTGAGGAGACGAAACCGCCAGAAGATGACAAGTCATCGAAATCGGCCAAAGTTGAAATTGCTCCGAAAGGGAAAGCAAAGCAGCCGAATTCAAGTGAGTTAAGTTAGTGAAGGGCCTTAAAATCGCTACCGTTTGGGACATTCTTGTGGGCAGCAGGGAAACGCCACTGATTATACGGTTGGTCAAGTTTCTTTGATGGACTACATTTTGGACCACGTGACGCACATGCTGTAACACGATAGGTGAGTGGCCACGTGATCAGCTTCTTCATAATCTGAGTGCGCACGCAGGAGCATATTTCAGCAAATCTCTTTGTGAATGTATGAATACCGAAAGTTCAACGGTCAGGAGTAGAGCTATGCTTGTTGGTGTGGACAAATGTATGCCAAATTCAGGGAAATGAAATGTGTCATCTCAGCAAATCTCTTTGTGAATGTATGAATACCGAAAGTTCAACGGTCAGGAGTAGAGCTATGCTTGTTGGTGTGGACAAATGTATGCCAAATTCAGGGAAATGAAAGGTGTCATTAATTTTGGAGACATTTGCAGCTAATCTAACCATTCGATCATAAATATAGGGTCCGATTCCTTAGTCCCATTTGGGGATTGTATACATGACAAGAAGTGGACACAGGGATTGGTATTCCTCACCGCGTTTTTTGATTCAAATTCAAACCACAGCTGGATACATGAGTCGTGTACTTCTAGTAATACGGACCACAGTATCTGCTCAAACGTAAATGAAATAGTGTGGTGGCGATCAGGCATCCTGGGGAACACTACGCTAATCGTCTTTTGACCTTGGGTTTCCCGACGTACCTCACACATGTGTAATTCAGTCATCCTGTCACAGATACCTTTGTATCGCTTTTGTCTAATTTGACATTGTAAGCTAACGTGAGTTTTCCACAAAACATCCTCTTTTGTCTCTAAGGCGTTTGAAATTGAGGCTGAATGAAAGTAAGTAGTTATTAGTTGAGGCTATCTGGTAGCGGTTGTTAGATCACCTCAAGACTCCGTGCTCTACCATTGTTTTTGAATCACACTGGTGTAGTGAGCAACCAAAACATTGTGAACAGACGTCGATTGTGGTTCATCCATCACCTGAGTGAAGTCAAGAGGACACCCTTGTGTTAGAGGTGCTGGACGCTGTGTCTGGAACTCGAGATGTGACCGAAAATTCGATCAACACACATATACATAAATATGAACTGCGTCAGTCAGCCACTACATAGAGAATGACTAAACAAGTTTGGGACTCTAATCAGAGTTGGAAATCGAATGGCCGAAATATAGCCAACAGGCAAGTCGAGGCTGTAGTGTTCTGACTACCCAATAAGTTACTTTACCAGGAGTCTGTGGCAAAGAAATAAAAATAATAACGCTAGTTCGGGTATACAGTAATAAAGAGGTCAGATGGAACAGACTCACTAATAATTGTTCTCTTTAAAATAGTTCGTCGTTGGCCCAGGTCAGCGAATAAACAATAATCCAGTTATGTTGATCCAGAGGTCTCCTTCTGAACAGTTCCCACATATAATAGATTCCGAAGATGGTCTGAAATGTTTTGATGCCAGAGTCAATACATGAGACTCGCGAACGACCGCCGCAAGCGCGAGCGAAATCAGAAGAGAGAGTCGAAGCACGCGACCACGCTTGTATTATGTGAAATTGTACAAGTGCGCGTTTTTGTAGTTTTCCTATTCAAACAAAAAACGGTTATGCAATTGACGAAATACGTAGTGTTATAATGAAGGCAAAATAAAGGTACAAAACACCACAAGACAAACTAACTAACCAGTAAAAATGAACGGTTGTCCAGTCAAGTCGCTTGGTAGAATAGAAAACCAAACAGATACAAGGAAATGAGACCTCAACCGCACTGAGACTACACCCAAAGCAATTGAAGTACATGAAGGCCATCCCATTATCAACTAATCAATTCTGAGGTGTTATCTGCTGTTTAGAACATATACACACAGAGACAGATGAGGAATAATATACCCAACATGCATACACACAACTTCGAAGATGTCACCTCGAATGGTGCGCCATGCAGCTTCCAATGTCGGCAAACGGACCGACAACCAAAAAGCCGTTTGTGTTTGGCGTTTGTGACGTTGGACAAATACGAAAGTGCCGAAATGACGGACAAACACTTCCGAAAAAAATTAAATCAAATCAGTGACACGTAGTTTGATGCATTTTGTGGTGAATCAAGTGTTACTTTGAACTGACTGGCCCCTTCAAGCGTACGTGGTAGAACTGTGGTTCGCGCTTTGAACGGCTCATATACGGCCATCAAAGCACGAAAATCATCAGTTTCTAGAAGAACATTGCCAGCTATCGGTTGTACTCATCTGCAATGTAACAGTTGGTTTGGTTGAGATCGGAACAGCGGATCTATAAGTCTGACTATCATCTTGAACGAGTAGACTACAAGCTACAGCAATAAATTCCACCGTTCAAGCTGCTTTTGGAAACCGTAAATAGTTGATCTGTTTGTGATCAGTGTTCACCTGGTTCATTTGGTCAAACAGGTTCTACTAGAGTGGGAAACAGGCAACCAGTGAGTTCCTCGGTCACGCAGGAATGTCATCAAAGGACCCATGTTTTATCCCCAAAAACGGTGTGAACCTTACTATGCAGTCAATTGAATAGATAATTGTCTTAGGGCGGCATTCTGTTTGTGGGCCAAGAAGATTCCCTTTTAGGCCAATAATCTGGTTGCGAGTCCTGATATATTCTTGATGTAAGGTAGGACTACCCGTCTGGTTGATTGTTCTTGCCGCCAGACGGGTAGTCCTACCTTACATCAAAAATATATCAGGACTCCCAACCAGATTATTGGCTTAAAAGGGAATCTTCGTGGCCCACAAACAGAATGCCACCCTAAGGAAACTAATCTCTAGATCGAAGGAAAACCCGGAAAAAAACCAAGAAGAACAATGTGATATACCAACTCAACTGTAACAACTGCAGCAAGTTCTACGTTGGACAATCTGGGAGGAAATTATGCACACGAATAAAGGAACACAATGCAGGTGTCAGGAGGCATGACTTCCTATCCTTGATATCTATACACGAGGACCAAGAAGGCTACAAATTCAATCT